AAGTACAAAGGTTTGCAACAAGGTTAGTTCCAGAGCTAATGGGAATGTCCTATGAAGAAAGATTAAGGGAAATCGGCCTGACGACACTGGAGGACAGGAGGGTCAGGGGAGACATGATAACGACATATAAAATACTGCGTGGAATAGACAAGGTGGACAAGGACAGGATGTTCCAGGGAGGGGACACAGAAACAAGACGCCACAATTGGAAGTTGAAGACACAAATGAGCCAGAGAGATAGTAGGAAGTATTTCTTCAGTCATAGAGTTGTAAGGCAGTGGAATAGCCTAGAAAATGACGTAGTGGAGACAGGAACCATACACAGTTTTAAGACGAGGTTTGATAAAGCTCATGGAGCGGGGAGAGAGAGGGCCTAGTAGCAACCGGTGAAGAGGCGGGGCCAGGAGCTAGGACTCGACCCCTGCAACCACAAATAGGTGAGTACAAATAGGTGAGTACACACACACACACACACACACACATACACACATACACAGCTACTGTAACACAGCTATGCTTTCTGAGAGTGATGTACGTGTTGCCACTCGTGTTAGTTCTCAGTAAAGATTGGACGTGCAGTCTGGGAAGGATGTGTGGGACGTCCAGTCTGGGGAGGATGAGTGGGATGTGAAGCCTGGGGAGGATGTGCCTAAGAATGCCTCAGGTAAAAGCGACAAGCTCTGGGGAGCGGTATTAACACCTCTGGTCAAGTATCCCCCCTTCCCCCTCACCCTGAACCAAGGCCACCATGACCCTCCCCCTGAACCTGGGTCACCAAGCCCCTTCCCTTGAACCTGGGTCACCCTGTCCCTCCCCCTGAACCTGGGTCACGTCTACGCGGTGGGGGGGGGGTCTGTGTATGTGACCACTGTCTCACAAAAGTCCAGAATTTTTTTCCTCTCACGGTTTAAATAACAATTTTCATTCGTCCAGACTTCAATCTGGTCTGCCTCCCAACTAGGTTAGGTTTGTCAGGAAACAGGACAAGTGTTTCCTGAAGCGGATCTTAGTCATGTAATGACCCGCCACTGGAGGTTTTGGTCATCTGATCAAGGCCTTCCGCTGGCTTACCCCTCGACCCCTTTAAAAATTAATGGTTATTATTATTACATTTTTTTTTACTCTCCCAACTGGTGCATAACCTTTCCACAAGTAAAAATAAACTAACCCACTCCAACTCCAGGTAGACTCCGGGTAAACTCCAGGTAAACTAGCCTCTCTCTCTCACTCTCTGCGTGTTACTTCCACCTTGGTTACCATGAAACTGGGTTACCTGCAGCTGTCCATGGTACATAATGGCTAGGCGGCGCTCATTAACATGGGAATCCCTCTGTCTCAGGACTGTCATGTACATTTTGTCATTTTAGAGGCAGTAATTCTCCAGATATTATGTTGCACTGTGAGTATTATCTTGCATCATGGATACTTCCTTATATCGTAAACCCTTCAAGAATATCTAGAAATACTCGTGACTGATGACAACTACTCAGGTATTCTCAAATGTTCATGAATAAGCAAACCTACACTGACAGTTTTCTATATGGAGCAGAGATGATACCTGGAATCGTAACAGAACGATTGCAAACTAACCACTGTACGGGTGGGGATCGAACTCACGGCAGTGAGTCGTAGCCACCGTGATTAGTTTGCAATCGTTCTGTTACGATTTCGTGAGTCATAAATACACTTGGGATTACTGGATTCTGTGCGACAGCTGAAGAATGCTTCTCCTGGTTACCTTCAAACTTTCAACACTAGTGTGTCTTACGTAGAGGAAGACTGATTTTTTTAATGGGTTTTATAGCCTTTAGTTTCCCAAATCTTGAAGTATTACATAAACTCTTCCGAAGCAATAAGAAATTCGGATATCTAGCTTTGAAAATATTTCAAACTTACGCCATGTAATTTTTTACGCAATGCCCCTCTAGCCATTTAGATATTATACGATGTTAAGCCTATAAATATTACATGTTAGACTGGCCTGGAGTTTTACGATTCACTTGCCGTGAGTTCGACCCCCACCCGTACCGTGGTTTCTAAGTGTATTTATTGTACTAATAAACAGACAAATTTGCATCTCCACAGCCCAAGTTATTGAATGGGAATCAGAATTACAGTTTATTTAATAAAATTGATAAACTGGGATTAATGCAACACAACAGGAAAGTGAACTTTGTCTTGCAAAACAAGTCAGTACTAAAAGTTTGAAGCCAGCCATGAGAAGCATTCTTCAGTATAAGGGATCCAACAATTCAGAACATAAAGATACCTAACTGTTGCATATGTGTCTTACCTAACAACCTGTCGGTATTTTATACCATTTTATTGTTCAATCTGTCAGACACTGCAACACAAGGGTATCTTGGTACAGACCTACAATCAACTTCGACAACCTCTACTAGTGAGAACGGCTGGATTTGAGAGGGACCTGACCTCCCAACATCTGAGTTCTTACCTCTTCTAGTGACCTACGTCTCACCTCTTGGCGCTATATAAGGCTCCATCCTGTCACTTCATCTCCATATTGTTTCATACTATGGAACAATGCTCTTCTCCAGACTGAGGGACTGACCACCTCAAAACTTTAAGGGTGATGGACTGATTACATCGTCTTCAAGTATCTTCTGCTTCTATCAACTTTTCTGTACTCGACTGAAGAAGCCTACTGTGTAAGATAAGATAAGATAAGATTTCGTTCGGATTTTTAACCCCGGAGGGTTAGCCACCCAGGATAACCCAAGAAAGTCAGTGCGTCATCGAGGACTGTCTAACTTATTTCCATTGGGGTCCTTAATCTTGTCCCCCAGGATGCGACCCACACCAGTCGACTAACACCCGGGTACCTATTTGCTGCTAGGTGAACAGGACAATAGGTGTAAGGAAACGTGTCGGAATTTCCACCCGCCGGGAATCGAACCCGGGCCCTCCGTGTGTGAAGCGGGAGCTTTAGCCACCAGACCACCTAGATACCTAACTGTTGCATATGTGTCTTACCTAACAATTCAAAACATGTTTAACTACGTTAATATATATTGGCAGATTTGCACTTACACAGCCTAAACCTTGACCTGGTCTCAGACCGGAACCCTCTCCAGGTATGTCTCCAGGTAAATCCAGGTAAAATTCGCCTATGAATTTCCAGGTGACATACTTGAAATACCTGGATAATATATGTGTTCAGGGCGAGTGTTAACCCTGGTCATCATCGAACTGTGTCAGTTCAGTGGGAACTAAGATAGTTGACAATATAGGAGACCCCAGACCCGTGGCTGCTGGGGCTTTGAACCGTCAGCTGGAAGACGAATACCCAAGACTAACAGTGGTCCTCTTATTGTATTCATCCTTAAGATAACGTAATCCCCACAATAAGATAAGATAAGATTTCGTTCGGATTTTTAACCCCGGAGGGTTAGCCACCCAGGATAACCCAAGAAAGTCAGTGCGTCATCGAGGACTGTCTAACTTATTTCCATTGGGGTCCTTAATCTTGTCCCCCAGGATGCGACCCACACCAGTCGACTAACACCCAGGTACCTATTTGCTGCTAGGTGATCAGGACAATAGGTGTAAGGAAACGTGTCGGAATTTCCACCCGCCGGGAATCGAACCCGGGCCCTCCGTGTGTGAAGCGGGAGCTTTAGCCACCAGACCACCTCACCCTTGTTGCAGTACACATGTGTGGAATATTTGAAGCTGATAGAATGAGGAGTAATCAAGTTGTTAACGAAAATCTTGAAGGAAGCAAAAAATAAATAAATAAATAACTCAGTCAACTAATTTCATAGGTGTCTCTTCCGGGCTACCTAGCGTCCTGTTGGTCTGTTTCGTGCAAGATTTTTGAGCTCGTCTCAGTGTTTTTTAAAAGAATCTTGATGGGATGGCACCATCCTAGAGTTAGTTTGATAGGTTGAAGCATGGCACTGCGCATGGCACCAAGGTGCAATTGGTCTATATACTAATTTCACGAATATTTCAATCTCTAAAACAGTGATTATAAAAAAACTCTCTGCGTATATACCCTTAGAGATATACATCTTCCGTTACATGTACACTGAAAGTATACACTTCGGAGTATATACCCTAAGATATACCTCTGGATATGAATACTTGAAAGATATACATCTTGATGTATATACACAGATATACATCTGTCATATACAACTCTAGGTGTATACAACCTAGAGGTGATAGGATGGATAATGAGAACGTTCGAAACGAGAGATGCCAAGCCAATGATGATCCTTTTCAAATCACTTGTTCTCTCTAGGCTGGAATACTGCTGTACATTAACATCTCCATTCAAAGCAGGTGAAATCGCAGATCTAGTGTACAGAGATCCTTTACTGCATGTATAAGTTCTGTCAAGCACCATAACTACTGGGAACTCTTGGAAGCACTTGACTTGTACTCGTTGGAACGCAGGAGGGAGAGATATATCATAATCTACACTTGGAAAATCCTGGAAGGAATGGTCCCAAATCTGCACACAGAAATCACTCCCTACGAAAGTAAAAGACTGGGCAGGCAATGCAAAACGCCCCCAATTAAAAGTAGGGGCGCCATTGGTACACTAAGGGAAAACACCATAAGTGTCCGGGGCCCAAGACTGTTCAACAGCCTCCCATCAAGCATTAGGGGAATTGCCAATAAACCCCTGGCTGCCTTCAAGAGAGAGCTTTACAGATACCTAAAGTCAGTGCCGGATCAGCCGGGCTGTGGCTCGTACGTTGGACTGCGTGCGACCAGCAGTAACAGCCTGGTTGATCAGGCCCTGATCCACTGGGAGGCCTGGTCATGGACCGGGCCGCGGGGCGTTGATCCCCGGAATAACCTCCAGGTAACCAGGTATATGACATATGTGTATGTATGTTTGTATTGGTATGACGAGTGCCTGTTGGGTCGAGCCTCACACCACTACGGCTCTGACGTGTGTCACGGGTCACGTGACCACCGAAGTGCCACATGGTATATATAAATGTGGTCATGGCGAGGCTGCCCAAGTCAGTGGTGGCCCGCTTGTGGGGGAGGCCGGTGGCAGGTGGAGGTGTGTGTGTGCTCACCTAATTGTACTCGCCTAATTGTGGTTGCAGGGGTCGAGACTCAGCTCCTGGCCCAGCCTCTTCACTGACAGTGTGTGTGTGTACTTACCTAGTTGTGGTTGCAGGGGTCGAGTCACAGCTCCTGTGTGTGTGTGTGTGTGTGTGTGTGTGTGTGTGTGTGTGTGTGTGTGTGTGTGTGTGTGTTGTGTGTGTGTGTGTGTGTGTGTGTGTGTGTGTGTGTGTGTGTGTGTGTGTGTGTGTGTGTCTATCCTTACAATACCCTCACCTCCCTATATACCAACAGCAGTACGGAAGATTTACTGAGGAGTCGAAGGCGGCAAATGTATGTATTTTTGCACTATGTGGAAATATAATGTAAAGTGCTCAAGAATGACAATGTACGCCCACGCTTTGACGGATGACAACGTAATGTATTCTCTGCACTTTGACGTTGCGTGTGAAGGAACGCGTCGTAGACTACTCGAAGGGTAAGTAAGTTTGTCTAGACACAGGTACACATAATAACAGTTATCATACATAGTGTAAATTACCTAGGATAACCCAAAAAAGTCGGACAAAGGGACTTATTTCCATTGGGATTTGTCTTCATAGATTCGAAATTTGACCCGGAGGGCCGCCTGTGGTCATGCGAGCTGCATGATCGGGAATGGCTGGGAGAGTTTAATTAATGTGTATGGGTGTGATAAGGATGTTGAGAACGGGGGAGACAGGAAAGGCGATGGAGGAAGAGTGACACTAGATAGCAGTGAGGAAGATGAATTTAGCACAGAGGCTGATCTCTCCGGGGCCAGGAAATCCCTTAGTCAGGCAACTTAGAAAACGGCAGCGGGAAATAATTTTGGGGGTCACTTGTGTAAGGGGGTAGAAAGAGAGAGAGAGACGGGGGGGGGGGTATTGGGGAAGACTCAGTGTTTACCTCGTGGTGGTGGTCCCACCGTGAGGTCACAGACCCGGGGGACCGCTCTCTTAGCCTCGTATGTTTTCCATCAGCGAAGCTAACAGAATACGTTGATGGTGTCACTGGGACTCATACAGCTGCTGACTGTCACACTTGGCCGCACGTTTATGTGTACTCGACCTATTTGTGGTTGCAGGGGTCGATTCATAGCTCCTGGCTTCGCCTCTTCACTTATTGCTACTAGGCCCTCTCTCTCCCTGGTCCATGAGTTTTATCATACTTAGTCATAAAACTATGTATGGTTCCTGCCTCCATCACGTCACTGTCCAGACTATTCCACTTCCTGATAACTCTGTGAATGAAGAAATACTTCCTAACATCCCTTTGACTCATCTGAGTCTTCAGCTTCCAATTGTGACCCCTTGTTTCTATGTCGAATCTCAGGAACATCCTGTCTTTGTCCACCTTGTCAATTCCTCGCAGTATTTTATAAGTCGTTATCATGTCTTCCCTAATCCTTCTGTCCTCCAGTGTCGTCAGGTCGATTTTCCTTAAACTTTCTTCGTAGGACATGCCTCTTAGCTATGGGACTGGGTCCTCCATTGTCGTCAGGTCGATTTCCCCTGAGCTCCGAGACTAATCTTGTTGTAAACCTTTGCACTCTCTCTAATTTCTTGACGTGCTTGACCAGGTGTGGGGCTCCAAACCGGCGCTGCGTACTCCAGTACTTGCCTGACGTACACATTGTACACTGTACAGTCTTGAACTATTCCTTACTGAGATGTTGGAATGCTATTTCTAAGTTTGCCAGGTGCCCATATGCTGCAGCAGCATATGGGCGCCTGGAGATGTGCTCGGTATTATACTGACCTCTTTGAGAGAGGTTTGCAATCTTTGGCCCCCTAGCCTGTACTCTCTCTGTGGTCTTCTTTGCTCTTCCCCAATCTTCATGACTTTGCACTTGGTGGAGTTAAACTCCAGGAGCAAGTTACTGGACCAGGCTTACAGCCTGTCCAGATCCCTTTGTAACCCTACCTGATCTCCATTCGGTTGAATTTTCCTCGAGTGTTCATGTCTGTGTATGTACGTTCATAGGTATGTACGTGCTTGTGTATGCACGTTCATAAGTGTGTACGTACGCTCACAGGTGTGAAAGCTGGCTGGGCAATTCCCTTGCAGTAGTGCTAGCGTGATTGTAGTCACGTTCTGTTAGTGTAGCTCCTCAGCCGCCAGTTTTTCCTCTTGCTCCTCAGTCTAGGGATCTTTTTGACGCTGTTGTTGTTACTGCTGTTGTTGTTGCTACTGCTGTTGTTGCTGCTACAAGTGGTACTACAGCAGACGTCCACAGGTCTCGCTGGGATGACAAACAATAAAGTCACAGAGTGAATTTGATTATCTAAAGTTAGCGAACAATTGGAGAGGTAATTTTAAGCTAAGTAATGTTTGGTTCGATTAGATCAAGTTAGGTTACCTTAGATTAGATTAGGTTAGACAAGTTCAGGTTAGACTAGGTTAGGTTAGATTAGGTAATGTTAGATTAGGTTAGGCTAGATTAGATCGAACCGCGGATATTTAGTAGGTGAGAGCGTTGGCTACCAGACCACGGGACAAAGTTGCATTACGAGTAGCTTCTTCAGTAGTAGTCTGGAACAACTGATATACGTATAGCAAGGGTATGGCGGGGCAGGTTGTACTAGTGAGTATGAAGTGAGGGGGGGGGGGGTAGAAGCGATGCCCATTTCCTTCAACCTGCTTCACCACTTGAGGCTACCACGGTGCTCCGTCAGTGTTACGACTACCTACCTACCTACATCTTAGTCCCGTCCCACACTACTATATAATAACCTTTTTTTTTTATCTTGAGATTACTCAACATTGGGGCTGAAGAAGGGCCTCGTGACGAATTTTTCCATTAATAAATGTCCTGAAATGTAGGTGTTTTCATGCACAGTTTGTCGGAATCACGATACTATTAGCAGTTACTGGTGTTGTCCAGGCTGCGGGCTTACATGTTCTCTTGTGTATACGGGTCTCAATAATGACGCTTTATTTATAAAGACGTTCCGTCCACAAGTGACTTTATCAATTCACAGAGAGACAAATAAGACATTGGTGTGTATAGTTGTTAGAGAGAGGTCTTGAGGTGAAAGAATAATCATGAAAAGACGTGTGAGTGACTTCATGACTGCCGAGTCACACAAGACGAAAGCAGAGAATATACCGTGTAATTCTAATCCTAACGTTGCACTTTCCGTCAAGCTCACCAGCAACAACCTTTCCAGTACAAAAGCCAACATCAGGGGTCACCAATATTCCATCTAAAACTTTAAAATACTTAGTTAAGAGGCAAGGGAAGCCAACGGGCGTGTGTAGCATACCTTGTGGAGGATGTGACAAGATTTATGTTGGCGAAACCTCCAGAGACCTAGACACCTGAGTCAAAGAACGTATTAAAGTATGCTGAAAGGACATTAGAAATAAATGTATGCCAACAACCACCATATAAAGTTTCCAGACGCAAGACTTATCATCAGAGAGAGTGACCTGTCACACAAGATAATGAGCAAGACGCAACAGATGGATTTTTTTTTATATTTCCGAAACGTTTCGAATATACATTATGCTACTGTAGTCTATTGTGTAGGCAACAACCTTTGTAAGGTATGTACTTGCAAGGTTGTTGCTGGTGAGCTTGACGGGAAGCACAATGTATTCTGGGTGTAGCGTTTAAACAAGAATTATGTAGTATATTCTCGGCTTTCTTCTTCTTGCTTGACTGGGCAGTCAGGAAGTCACTCACATATCTCTTCATGACTTTATTCTTTCACCTCAGGATCTCTCTCTCTCTCTCCATCCATTATATACACCTACGAATTGTTCTCTGAACTGTTAAAGACTCTGGTGGAGGAAACATCTGGATAGACTGATGGTGTAGCTGGAGAAGTGACAGATGTAGTTCAAGCTGACGAGAGTACGGTTCTAATCCTATTACAAGGGTGGGCAACCTTTTTAAGTGTGCATGCCAAAGTCGGCCATATCTTTGATACAAAATCTCTGGAAACGTATAGGGACTATTTCCTCGCTTTTCTTGGAACGGATGCGTGCCGGAAAGAAGTCGTTGGCGTGCCAGGTTTGGCACATGTGCTGAGGGTTGCCCACCCCTGTCCTAGGAAAAGAAAATAATTATGGTATTTATAAACTAAACACTGTAGATCTTAGTCAAAATGAATGGGAAAAAAAATTGTGTAAGATCTGATTAGCAGAAGTTTAAAGCCAAGACAAGACTGCATAAGTATTCACTAAGATATATGAAGTTAACCCTCAGTTTTATATATTTTTGATTAGACCTCATTTAAATAATGCTACTCGGTTCTGCTCTTCGTATCACAGAATGAACACAATTGCGCTGGAAAATATATGGAAAGAATGACGAAGTTGATTCCGTGTGGTAGAAATCTTTCATACAAAGACAGAATGAAGGCACTGAGTTGCACTCTTTGGACCGTCACGTTGGAACAGTGTAAATGAAGGCAGGGCAGCCGCCTGATTAGTGGATCATGCAAGCATGATCCACTAATAGGAAAGTGGCGAGGGCCTTCTAGTAAGCATGATCGACTAATAGGAAAGTGGCGAAGGCCCTGTAGTAAGCATGATCCACTAATAGGAAAGTGGCGAGGGCCTTCTAGTAAGCATGATCCACTAATAGGAAAGTGGCGAAGGCCCTGTAGTAAGCATGATCCACTAATAGGAAAGTGGCGAAGGCCCTGTAGCAACCATGATCCACCACTTGCAGGGTAGTCACTAGGGCCCTGTAGCATGATCCACCATCACCAACAGAGTAACCATTGCCGTGTAGTAAGCATGGTTCACCAGAATTAGTGACCAGAGCCCCATAATAAGCATGATTCACTAGCGGTAGTGACCATCGCCATATAGTAAGAAAGCATGGCTTACAGCAGCAGCGATTAGGGCCCTGTAATGTGCATGATTCACAGTAGTGACCAGGGCCTTATAATAAGCTTGGTTCACTAGCAGTGACCAAAGCCCTTTACTAAGCTTGATCCACTAGCAGTGACCAAGGCCCTA